CCATTATTTATTTATTTTTAAAAAATTTTTATAACTACATGATTAGAAGAAGCATTTCATTACAGCTTTAACATATCCAGTAACACACTCCAGAGCAGGAGTACATCTCTTTCGCAAGTGGCTGTAAGTTTCTAGGTTCACAGTTGAATTAGTAGTTATACGATATTGAACTCAGTATAGGCCCTGTTTTGTGTGTGTGTGTCTATCATACAGAACATTTGTTTTTTGTCTTATGTTTCTGAGCAGAGCTCCTAAAACCCTGGGAATTTCCTGATAGGAATGTCTTTTGTTATTCACAAGGAGACCATTGGCTTATATGCTTTGCTATTAATACCCCATGCCAGAAACATAGATGAACATGTTCGTGTTTTTTCGCCATGTCAGAATTAATTGAATAACAATAAATTCATAAGCTATGTCAGTTTTTTTGGCAGCAATTTGCCAAGCAGTACTGATTCCTTGGTGACTGATGCTAACATAGGTCCTTTTATTCCTTTTCTTTCTTTCTTTTTTTTTTTTTTTTGAGACAGGGTCTCCCTGTAGCCCCCAGCTGGCCTGAAACTCTCTATGTAGACCAGCCTGGCCTCAAATTCAGATCTCCACCTGCCTCTCTCTGCTCGGACTAAAAGTGTGTACCACCACGATCGGCTTTTATTCCAGTCCTAACTACTAATATTCTCTTAAATCCCATGTTACACATCATACAGTAAACATATCTGTATATGTTTGTATGTAGGTTACAGAATGGCTATAAAGGGATAGAGGCTACAGCAAGGAGTTTCAGTGAGGCTTAATCAGAGGCAAGCAGAAGGCTGATGGGGGTGCAAAGGTGTGTGTGTGTGTGTGTGTGTGTGTGTGTGTGTGTGATGTCAGATAAACACTGTTGGAGGGCTGCTGGAGGCACTGCTACACAGAATCATAGGTTTGAGATGAGCCACGGAAGTGAGAGATCAGACAGGAAATCATAGGAGTGAAGGGTGGGGCTGGGTCCAGAGTGATGAAGGACAGCAGATGGTGGACAGCTGAATTTAAATTCGAGCAGGCCACGTCAACACTGGGGACTCAGCTGAGCTGAAGTTCCGAGGACAGTTGGAAGTTCTATACTTGGTTCTTTGATTGCACACACAGGGTAATCAGATGACAGGTTGGTGGGTTCCTCAGTATCAGTGTTAATCGGATCCAGGTTAGTGTGTGAACTCTTTCCTCAGTCTGGTGTGTGAACACACTAAGTTCTTGGGCCTGGTTTTCATGATGCAATTTTAATATGGTCATGTGCACGTTATCAATCCACTTTTTCTAAATTTATAGGATGAAATCAACAACACCCCCCCCCCCAAAAAAAAACAAAAACAAAAATTATAGGATGATACTTTTTTAGTAATCTTATTGGTCTGTGCCTTGTGGGTAGTGACAGACAGATGGGGTTTACAAGCCCACACCCTCAGAATCATCATGGCTTTGTTTCTCCTCAAAATGGAGCCAAAATTCTGCTTGTAAAATAGTTTTTTGGCAAGGCACAGCTTGAAAACCACAGTTTTACACAATATGGAGGATCTGTAGGGCAGGCACAGCCTGCTCTCAACACCTGAGCTACTTAGGGCACAATCCCTAGACAGCCTCACAAGTAACTGGTGAAAGATCAAGTGATTGGATGGCTGGAACTTTCAGCCCCACCCTGGAAAGAGGGAGTGTGTAAGCTCCCTATAAACTTTTGATTTGAACTCTTGAGATTTGAAGAGTGCCCAGGTATAGACACAAGAGGCATAGGGAGGATGTCAACAGGTGAGGGTGCGGGACCTGCACCCCCACACTACCTTCCTTGCCTTATTCATCTTTTTCATCCGACTGTACCAATGTTTTGTCATTTATTACAAACTGGTAAACCAGTATTTATGAGTTCTGTGAGTCATTCTAGCAAATCTTTGGGATCAAGCAACAGGTCCCAGGAACCCTGATTTATAGCTGATTGTTTGGAAGTACTGGAATTCAGGACTTAAGAACTGCCATCTGAAGTGGGATTGAGTCTAGATATCTGGTGCCAAGTCCAAGTAGTGTCAGAACTGAACTGTAGGACACCCAATAGTGTTGAAACTGGTTTGTATGAAAAAAGTGTACATATTTTTGGTGACCTGAGGTATTCTGTGCCATGTGAGAACTGAAACTTGTTTTTTCCCATTTTATTCAGAATCAATTAGAGAGGGTATGGATCTAGGTTTGAATGAAAAGTGCCTGCTTTTTCTATGTGCTGCTTCTTACTAATATCTATGAACTCTAAATTTGTCCTTAAACTTTTCTTAGTGGACTGGCTTGCTTTTTTTCTTTTCAAGACAGTGTCTCATTCTCTTTCCAGGATGGCCTGGGATTCACTGTGTAGCAGCCCAGGCTGGCCTCAAACTCATGGTAATCCTCCTCCTCAGCTTCCCAAGTGCTGCGAATTATAGGCTTAAGCCACTATGCCCAGCCACTAACCATTTTCTCTTCTTCTTGCTGTGCTGGAGATTGAACCATGACCTTGTGCATGCTAGGCAAATACTGTCACTGAGCTCTCTTTAGCCTCCAGCGATTTTTTTCCCTCTGAGTGACAACAAATGAATGAGCCTAGTGCTTTGTACATTATTACTAAACTAGTTCCAGGCTTTCAAAATTACTTCTCAAGACAATTGTCTCCTGTAGCCTAGACTGGCCTCAAACTCACTAAGTAGCAGAGAATGAACTTTCTTTCTGATCCCGAGTCCACCTCCCAGAAGCTTTTTTCCCCTCAAAGATTTTTTTTATTTTATGTGTGATGAATGCTTTGCCTGCATGTATGTATATGTACCATGTGCAAGCCTGGTGCCCATGGAGGCCAGAAGAGGGTGTTGGATGCCCTGGAACTGAAGTTACAGATGATTGTCAGATGCCATGTGGGTGCTGGACATCAAACTCAGGATCTGTGAGAGTAGCAGTGCTCTTAACCACTGAGCCATCTTTCCAGTCCAATGAGCCTTTTCTTAGCATTCCTTTTTCGTCTTCTTAATCAGAAATACTGTTTTCCGGGGCTGTAGAGATGGCTCAGGAGTTAGAGCAATAACTGCTCTTCTCAGAGAAGGCTGGGGTTTCATTTCCAGCACCCACATGGTAGCCAATAACCATATGCAACTCCAGTTCCATGGGCATCCAACACCCTCTTCTGGCCTCCAAGGGCATTGCATGACATGGGTGCACTTATGTACATGCAGGCAATAGACTTAATCACACAAAAGAAAAATATTAAAAACATACTGTTTTTCAGGAATATCATGCCTCTTTTGTTTTGGCTTTCTGAGACAGCCTATCACTCTGTAGTCCTGATTGGTATAGAACTCACTGTGTAGACCAGGCTAGTCCAATCCTCCTGCCTTTATCTCCTCAGTGCTGGGAATAAAAGCATGAGTCCCATCCCCAGCTTTTATTTACTTTTGGTGCTGGAGTTTGAATCCAGGGCCTCATACATGCTGTGCTGATAGCTTGTCAACTGGACACACATGGGTAGATGGGGAATTATTGCCACTGGACTGGCCTACTGAGTGATGTGGGAGGGCCCAGCCCACTGGGGCAGTGCCATCCCTGGCTGGGCAGGTTGTTCTCTATTGTACAAGAAAGCAGGCTGAGCATGGGCCAGGGGAGCAAGCCAGTAAGCAGCATTCCTCCACAGCCTGTGGCTCCTGCTTCCAGGATTCTGGCCTGAATTCCTACCTTGGGCTCCCTGATGAACTGTGACCCTGGGAGATGTGAGCCAAATAAACCCTTTCCTCCCCAAGTTGGTACTGGTCAGAGTATTTTGTCACAGCAATGGCGAAACAAGCTAGAACACATGCTAAAGTGCTCTACCTCTGAGCTACATCCCTGGCCCTTTAAGACCACTTTTCTGTCCTTTTTTTCAGATAGGTATATACAAATATATGCAACAGGATAATGGGGAAAATAAAGGAACTGAATAATTTGTCATCGACTACATGACAACACTGCTTATGAACATTTTATTCTCTTTAAAAATAAATAATGTGCTGTAAAACTGTCCAGAACTAAGATCTGTATATACAGTTAGGTACAAGGGAGAGCTAGCACAGTGTGCTTCAGCATGAACTACTTCAATTTAGAGAAGAATCCTCAGCTGTCTCATGAGACTGATATTCTGCTAGTAAGCACGCTCATATGGAGAAGGAAGAAACAGAAGTTCAGGGAAAGAAGTGACCTATCACAAATGAATTTCCAGAGCTAACAGTGATGCCGGAAACTCACAAGTGAGGCTTTACTTACTACATGCCCACTGTCTGGTTTAATGCCTGGCAGAGAACTGCTGCCACATAAAAATTTGTTGAGAGGATTTCAGGCACTAGCATTTATATATTTTACATGGTCTCTCATTTAAACAATCTATCAATTTCTTCATTAGCTAGGTATATACTGTAATTTATACAATAAATTTATTATTTAAAAATCTTTCAATAAGTACAATAATCATGGCATTTGAATAGGCCGGACTCTAAATTGCTTGGATTAGTTTTATTTGGAATCACATTATCCAAGCAGAAACAAAATACAATCAGTTC